TATCGGCTGAGATGCATGTTTCAACTGAAGATATCATTAGAAAATAAACAAATCTGAGAGAGGTCTACGTCTACTTGAGGTACCTATATGTATAGTATTAGTATCAAAGCAATTGGACTTGCAGTTTTTAACAAGATAACGAAAATATCGCTTTTTACCAAAAATGACAAAAATATTCATTAACAAACAGAGAATGGAAGATACATGTATCAGCACGAAATGAACAAATCTGATAGAGGTCTATATGTACTATCTATATGTATAATTTAACAAAATCAGACTTGCACAAGAAGTCGGAAATATCACTTTTTACCAAAAATGCCGATGACAGACAATCACTCATACATGTATGATAAGCTCTGCATGTCAAAGTCAACAGCAGAGGTACCCCGGTAACAAAAAATGTCTTTCTAACAATTCAGTCATCTCCAAAAATAATTGTTTTAGCATTAGCAGCAACAATCACAAATAAAATAATGCCATTTGAATGAGCCACCCTCTTCCCCTTGCCTTCAAAGTTTCATTGTCTTCTTTTTACTTGGTGTTCCAGTTACTGTAGAATACTTTATTTCCGCTTTGAATTTATTTTCGCTATTTTCGCTGAAGGGATGATTCTGTGAAAATAAAATCCAGTGAATATACTTTTTTTCCTATATTTCACATTAAACTCATGAAAAATCAGTGAAAATAAATTCCAAGCAAAACGCCCAAAAAGCCTCTTCAGCGAAAATTAATTCCAGCGAAAATAAAGTATTCCACAGTAATAGAAATCTACATACAAGTAACCAACTTGCTATCTATCAACCAAATGTGTCGTGAAGTAAATGTGACAAGTTTGACTTCATCTGTTCTTATAATGCTACTGGTACAGTGTTCTCCCCAGGCCTAAACAGCGTCGCGGCCCCCGACGTGGCATTTTACCCTCGCGATGCGGGATTTAGCACCCACGATCCTACGATCCGCCCTATAATGGATGTCTTTGCAGTACTGCTATTGTTTGTTTACACCTACAGTAAAAACAATGCGTGAACGACAAGTAAAGTAGTCGCGTAATGAAAGGTACCGGTAACAGGGCGCTGTACACAGCTGTGGTGTTTCCTGTCCCATGAAAGGGAGACAAGTGTCAAAATTGACACGTTAAAATAATTGTTAGCCGTTTTGGATACAAATATGAGTCATTCAAGGAAAATCAACTACATTATTTTGTCGACTACCGTAACATGCCACGTGAAAACCAAAGCTCCGTGCTGTCATTTTTTTCAACAACGGCGATCCAGAGAAAACACGAGGCACCTACCAATAATGAAAACGTGCTACCCGCTGTAGAAGTGATACATTCAAAGAAAAAAAACTGGAATTGATAAAACATGGCTTGAAAACTACGAATGGTTACGTCAAACTCCAGATGAAAAAGGTAAAGAACTTTATTCCTCCTCCCATTTATAATTTTCATAAACGTGACCGTGTGACCCCGACCTCAGGCGGACATATTATTAACTGTTTCATTTCATTTCAATTTGTATGTGTTTGCCCTGTTTTTATTTTCAAGTATTGGCACTTATTATCATAGATTTTTATATCAATTTGCTATTTCGAGAAAAATACACAAAACATGATCCGACATTTGACCCGGAAGACAATCTAGGTCAACTGCCATGTTTTCTTGAATCCCTGTACACGATCGTTTCAACTTTCTTTTTAAGTCATGTTTTCCTCTTGGAAGGCATGCAGTACGGTCAAAAAATGGAACAGATGTTTGGGTGAAAACAACGTGCACTACGTTGGAGAAATACAGTATAACGAAAACCTTAAAGTCCAAGACCCATAGACTGGCTGTCAGCAGAGAGAGAGATGCCAAACTTGCGAAGGCCAATGGCGGTATTGTTGCAGCAGTGGACCATCAAGTGAACCTAGAAAGATTGGCATTCATTGGATCCCTGAGATGCATGTATTGGATATGCAAGAACGAAATTGCCCATACAACGAAGTTCAAGAGTCTGGTCTGAAAATTTTAATTTATGAATTTCATTCATTCATTGTAAAAATATTTATTCACTTATTCATCTATTTGTTCAGTGACATAGTTTTTTTTTTTTTAGGGAGCAAATGCGTGTTATACTTCCGAACGTACAATACATGAAATGGTTGAAGTCCTTGGTACTGTAATGAAACAAAACATCATGCAGCAGCTCAGAGATAGTTTTTGCTATGCTATGATGTTGGATGAAACTACTTGAAACAACTTATAATGTATGCAAGGTTTATTGACAAGAATGTCGAGGTGAGTATATTGTTTTACAGACTTTTACACAGTGTTTGTTGCATGCAATCTCCCTTTGTTTATTTTTACCACCTTTTAATGGGTGATCTCAGACAGGAAAGCAAACATATTTAACATAATGTCACTGCTTCTCTATACTCTTAAAGGCCCAATTCACTTGCCCCGGGCAAGTGAGAATTGGAGGTGTGACTATGCTAACGAGTGTTGTTAATCACTTGCATAGCCTATGACTCATCCTGTTTCAGCGGTCCAACATCACGTGACTTTGATTGACAGTAGTTAAATATTCAAGATTAGTAGCGTGTCCCTTTTCCCCGGTTCGAGTTTTTGACTTTTATCCGTCAAAATCTCAGCTCGTACACTATTTATTGTCATACATGTAAATACTACACACAATCGCTGCTGTGATATTCATAGTCGCATGC